TTGGCCAAAGGAGAGTGCGGAGGGCACTGGGGAGGTGCAGGGAGTTTGACAGGTAGCTGGAACCTGTTACTCGTCGTGAGGCCCTCAGACCAGCAACGGCGGCAGCGGGGGACCCTCAAGGCCTGCCCCAGGCTTTCTGAATTAGGATCTGCAGGTCCCCAAGATGCCTTAGGTGACGTGTGTGCACATGGAGCATTGAGATGGGCTGGCCTGAGCCTGCTGTGAAGTTCAGCCGGAAAAGTCGGGCCTTTCCCGAGAACTGCCGGGACGGCGGAAGGGAAGCCAAAGAGGAAGCAGGCCTCCCACCAGTTCACCTACCGCCGCGTGGCCCTCAAGCCGCTGCCGGATGCTCCTGCACCGCACGCGGCCGCCGAGAGCAGTAGCTGAATCTGCAAGGAAGCAGGCCGGCTGCGAGGTCCGGCCCCGAGGAAGCCTGGAGCGGTGGAGACACACTCGCCGGCCCTGATGGTGAGCTACAGGCACCGGGTGGTGAGCACCTGCACCTGTCAGACCTCCAGCAGGCGGAGATCAAGCCCGAGACGAGCGGCCAGCGCCTGGGGGAGCGCGCCATCGGCCGCAAGCCCGACCGGCCCCCGTGGGGCCAGCTCCTCCTGCTGCTTCACCTCCTCAAGCAGCCCTACAGCTTCTACAGGCCCAGCTTCCTGTGGGAGGGGCTGGTGAGGGTCCAGAGGTAGAGAGAGGCCTGGTGCACGCGCCGACACACGTGGATCTTGAACGCGTGACGCTGAGTGACATCAGACGCAGGACACAGGTGTGTGGTCCCACTCCCTGGACTGTCTAGGCACATGCATAGAGGCCAGAGTGGAGGCCGTGGGGCTGGGGGACGGAGGGGCGGGCAGTTGTGGCTGAAGGGCACAGTGTCTGCACAAGGTGATGTCAGCTGAGAATGGACAGTGGGGGGGGCGGCACAAATATGGTGCATGTCGTTTCTGTCACTGGATTCACACTTAAAAGTGGTTCAAACAGCAAACTTTGAAAAACTTCTGCATGGTGTGCATGTGTGCATGAGTACGAGTGTGCACAAGTGTGTGCATGTGTGCAAGTATGTGTGAGCAAGTGTGCCTGAGTGTACGTGTATGAGAGCATGAGTGAGCTGAGTGTGTGCATTGTGCACGCATGTATGAGCATGTGAGTGTGTGCATGAGGTGTTTGTGTGCACGTGAAGGTTGGTCAGCACGTGTTTGTGAGTGTGGGTGTGTGCGTGCGTAGGTGTGTGTTGTGGGTGTTTGTGTGTGGATGTATGAGTGTGAGCTGAGTGTGCATTGTGCACATGTGTATGAGCATGTGTGTGTGTGCATGAGGTGCTTGTGTGCACGTGAAGGTTGGTCAGCACGTGTTTGTGAGTGTGAGTGTGTGCATGTCTAGGTGTGTGTTGTGGGTGTTCGTGTGTGTGCGTGTGAATGCGTGAGTGTGAGTGTGTGAAGTGTGTGCACATGTAGGTGTGTGTTTGGGTTCTTTACTACTGCTCTAACAGAAAACGTAGCACAAACAGGTGGCTTTAACGAACAGACTTACTCTTTTCTGGTTTAGGAGGCTAGAAGTCTCAGGTCGAAGTGCCAGCTCTGGGGGCTGGGAAGGCCCCTCGGCCTTGGGCTTTAGCTCTGCTCCTGCTCCCCTCTCACTGGAGCTGGAGGCGTCTCCACTCAGGCAGCTGCTGGCTGCTGAGGCTGATAAACCCAACACTGAAAGCAAAATGGCACAGTCCCAAGATTATCGCGACAGCAGGCCACTAGTTCAAGCCCAGAAACGGTCTAAAGATCGGCAGAGAACACGCAGGCCACTGAGACGCAGACTCGGCCAAATGCAGGGTCCAGGTGCGCCAAGAAGCTCAAGACCTTGCTCAAAGCTTCCCCTTAGATACGGGAAGCAGACCACAGCCCTAAGGCTACTCCTCAGCTGCTCACAGTAGATCCCACCATGGAGCCTATTCCAGTCTCATCGTGGGGATACTACATCCAGCTGCCCAGCCACTAACCAGGCCCAGCCAAGCTGACACACCACCTTAACTGCCACAGTGTGTGTTGATAAGCGGGTGTTCATGTGCATGTGTGGGAATGTGTGCAGGTGTAGGGGTGTGTTGGTAAGCAGGTGTTCATGTGTGTGAGAACGTGCGTCCGTGTGTGTGTGTGCGTGGGCTGTGGCCTCTAAGAAGGTGCTGTGACTGAAGGGTTTCACGGTCATCACTGGTCGGAGCCAACAGCCTGGTTTCTGAGCTGTTTCTCTGTGGAGTCCCCTTCCCACCTGTTCCCTTCCCACCTGTCCTCTTCCTCACCTATGCCCCTTCCGGTGTCTCTCCCACCAGGCCACGGCGGGAAGATGACAGGTGCCCTGGGGCCCCTCCTGGGCTGTTGTCTGCTGCTGGCCTCCACCTGTGGCCCGGTGCTGGGCCGTGTGCCCCATGACCAGCAGGCCCAGCAGGAACACGAGGCAACTCTGGGAGATGCCAAGGTGGAGGGGACCGAGGAGCCACTGTCACCGCAGGACCACGATGGGAGGTGAGGGCTGTGGGCGCGAACCCGCAGGAGCCTGTCCCCTGGGGCTGTGGGGGGCTCTGGGTGGCCAGGCCAGGCCTTGGGATCCTTATTGCAAGCAGGACAGGAGCCCAGCATCCCTCCAACCCCAGAGGACCGTCAGTCTCCTGAGGGCTCGCAGCCATTCCCTCGGGGCAGCCACCAGTCCCAGCCCCCAGTGTGCCCTTCCATCCTGCTTGTCTTTGAAAATGTCTGTGGGTCCAAAGTACAACGTGGGGGTAGGAGCCAGGACAAAGGCTATGGAAGCCGGTCAGCTCTAGAGCTTGGCCACAAGGTGCCACAAGGTGGGGGCTAGTGCTGCGCTCTCACCACCATGGCACCCATTCACACAGCCTGCAGGAGTCAGCCTCAGACACGGCAGGGGGCCTCCAGCTGCCGCAGCTCCGGGGACCCTCAAGCTCCAGTCGGACCCTCTCGTTCATGAGAGAACCGGCTTACTGGCATTTTCTAGAGTCACGGAGACGTGACAGGGCTCCCCAGTGAAGCTGTCATAAGTATCCACAGACTCCCCTGAACCAAAAAGTCTTCGGGCAGCACAAACCATGAAGTGCTTGACTGCCAGCCAAAAGGTTGGTAGTTCAAACCCCCAAGAGGTGCCTTGGAAGACAGGCCTGGTTATCTATTTTTGAGGCGTCACAGCCTTGGAAACCCCATGGAGCAGCGTGACTCTGCACACGTGGGGCTCCACAAGTCAGAATGGGCTCAACAGCAACTAACAACAACAACAACAAACCAAAAAAACAGCCTGGGCTGTGGAGCCAATTCTGACTCATGGCCGCCCCACGGGCGCAGCCCCGTGTGTGCAGAGCACAGCTGCTCTGTGGGGCCGTCTTGCCTGGCATCTCTGTGGAACCAGATCACCAGGCCTTTCTTCTGCAGAGCAGCTGAGTGGGTTCCAACAGCCAAGCTTTCGGTTGGTTGTTGGGTGCAAACCGTTGGCGTCGTCCAGGGGCCTACAGACTCTCCCGGGGTGTTGGCCGCTCCCAGGCGTTCCTGGAATTATTGTTGGTGTTGTTTTCCTACGGTTATTGCTCTGAACAAAAGGTGGGGACTTTTCTGAACTTTCCCTTGAGATCCCAGAACTCGCCATGAGTCATGCTCTTCCCTCTTCTGGGAAAGTGACCCCAGGATGTGCTGGTGAGAGAGGAGAGGCTTGCTGGCTACTGTGGGAGGGAGAAGCTTCTAGGCTTTGAGTTCAGGGTGTTTTCTGTGATGCCTTCCATCCCTTAGGGCTGAAGAACACGACAAGTACAGCCCCCACCAAGGCGAGGAGCCGCCGGCTTCCAGATGCTTCCGCTGCTGTGATCCTGCGCCTCCTTTGTATCGGCCAATCCCAGTGCCCCAGATCAACATCACGATCCTCAAAGGTCAGGAGGCTGCACAGACGAGCAGAGGGCCTCTGCCCAGCCGGGCTACGCTGGCCTGCAGGAGGGAGGTGCCGGAGTCTGGGGTGGGCAAGGGGCGTGAGCGGAATTGCTCCCTCGGGAGGGGGCAGGAGCAGAGGCAGGCTGTCGGCTACAGGGGTGAGGACGAGAAGGAAGTTCCATTGCCGAGGCTCTGGGGGCTCCCAGGATTGGCCAGGGGCTTCAGAAGCAAGCACAGGAGAGGGGCTTCGCAGAGCTTGGCCCCAGCCCTCCACACGTGTTCCCACTACAGGCCCCTCGGGTGTTGGTTTTGTGGCTTGGCACTCCCCAGGGGTTTTCTCAAATGCCACCGCCCGCCACGGGTCTGTGCGTAGCAGATGAGCGTGCAAGCCTGGCAGCAGCCAATGGGGAACACATGTGCCCTGTTTCCTGTGCCCACATCTGCTCTTCATTTGCTTGGAGTCAGCGGTGGGCCTGGCCGTGGAGACTGCTGCTTTTGGACAAACCCATATGTTCCTTTTTCTTTGCCAGGGCTTTCCAGAAGGAAAAAAAGAATAATTATTGCTTCTGGATGGAAATAGAAAGATCCTTGAGGTTGCGTCTGTTCACTTGGCTCCTCTGGGAATCCAAATACCCCTGTGCCCAGGGTGGGGCGTCTCAATGAGGGGCAGGAGGGAGCGCTGCTTGGAAAGTTAACACCGAACCCCCCTCTGGCCTGGCTCCCCCACTTCTAGGTATAGACCTGGGGCTTGAAGGCAGGGACTCGGGCAGACACATGTACTCCCACGTTCACTGCAGCTCTGCCCACCACCTAAGTGCCGGTCAACTGATGGGGGATAAACCAAGTGTGGGCCATCCGCACAATGGACTGCGACTCCGCCAGAGAGCAGTGAAGGTCTGATACGTGCCACGGCGTGTGCGGACCTGGAAAACGTTATGTGGGTGAAATAGGCAGGCGCAGGGCACAGACACTGTCTGATTCCACTCATGTGAATCATGCAGAGGAGCAAACACACAGGACGGAGGGTCTTGACTGGTCGCCAGGGGCTGGAGGAGGGAGATGGGGAGCTACTGCTTCAGGGCTACTGGGTTCAGACGGAAAAGCCTGGAAGTGGACGGTGGTGATGGTCGCACCACCTGGTCAACGTGCAGGCCGCCCCCCGTACAACAAGGTCCGTTCCTAACTGTGTCTTTAAGTCAGATTTGAAGGTCAGTTGGGACAGTGTACATGACCCTTATTTCCCCTGACTTGAGTGTAAGAAAATGCTCGAAGGCTTTCCGACATTCCAAAGCTGCACGTGCAGCAGTGAAGGGATGGTGAGGAGGAATCTGTTGCAGCAGGGGGCTGGTTCAGCCCCTTCCAAGTGAGGGCAAATTTACCTCACATTGAAGGGCAGGCAGGAGCTGTCTGGAAGGTGGGCGCTGGGAACCCAGGGACTTACTGTAATTCACGTCACTGGATCGTATGCTTAACGTGGTTAGAAGGGCAGAGTGTTCTATACACACGGTCAGGGCGGGATAGGATGAAGTGAGAAGCCGGAATAACAGCGTCCGGCCTGTGCACAGAGGCGGAGCCATGGCGTAGGGACATCGCAGGGCGGCCACTTCACAACCTGTCTCCCTGCCCCTTTCAGGTGAAAAGGGCGATCGAGGGGATCGAGGCCTTCAGGGGAAATTTGGCAAGACGGGCTCGGCGGGCGCCCGTGGCCACATGGGCCCCAAGGGGCAGAAAGGCTCCATGGGGGCCCCCGGGGACCGCTGCAAGAACCACTACGCGGCCTTCTCGGTGGGCCGGAAGAAGCCGCTGCATAGCAACGAGTACTACCAGACGGTGGTCTTCGACACGGAGTTCGTGAACCTCTACGGCCACTTCAACATGTTCACCGGCAGGTTCTACTGCTACGTCCCGGGCATCTACTTCTTCAGCCTGAACGTGCACACCTGGAACCAGAAGGAGACCTACCTGCACGTCATGCGCAACAGGGAGGAGGTGGTGATCCTGTACGCGCAGGTGAGCGACCGCAGCATCATGCAGACCCAGAGCCTGATGCTGGAACTGCGCGAGCAGGACGAGGTGTGGGTGCGCCTCTTCAAGGGGGAGCGGGAGAACGCCATCTTCAGCGACGAGTTCGACACCTACATCACCTTCAGCGGCTACCTGGTCAAGCACGCCGCCGAGCCCTAGCCGCGGCCAGCGCTGCCCTCGCCTGTCCTGCCCCCACCGCGCTGCCCCGTCCCGCTTCCTGGCTTTGGCACTCAGCAAGACGCCCTTCATGGGGACGGGAAGCAGAAACTGCTGTGTGGTCCAGATTCTGGGCTTCTGTGGCGCGCTGTTGACAGATGAAATCATGGGGTGGGGTGCCTGTGAGGACCGCGGGGACCTCCCGCTCCCCTCTGTGTACACATCCTTAAGTGACCCCTGCACACAGTGGCGGGACGGGGCAGGGAGTCCCAGAGCCAAGTTCCCCTTCCGGGCCCTGGAAGTCATCAGGCCTGTTTCTAAAGGCTTGGTCGGACAGGAGAGGAGGAAATGGAGGCCTTGCTGGTGCCATCTTACCACCAGCCGCCGTGGCTCCCAGGGTGTTGTTCCCAATCAAGGTGGCATGAGGCTCCTTCTAGGAGAGATCTTACTGGAAGCTGTGGGTCATGGGGTGGGGCGTCGGGGCACAGGGAAACCACACCTGGCGTGATTCCTTTAGGTCGTGTCCAAGCGTTCTGGGCTCAGCCGGCAGTACCGCGTCTGGTTGACATCCCTGTAGCCTCCCTCTTTCTGAACCACAACAGTGAGGGCATTTGGGCTGGACACAGACATCAGCTCCCAAGAGGAACAGCCAAGCCCCTCGTGTTTTGCTCAGGGCTGGGAGACCAAGGCCGGCCACCCTGGCTAGCAGATTCCTGGTGGCAGCCGGGGATCCCAGGGACCCCCAGACCTGCAGCTGCTTCTCAGGAACAAAACCCAAAAGAACCAAACCAGTTGCCGTGGAGTCGACTCAGACTCATGGTGGCCCCTTGTGTTGGAGAACTGGGCTCTGCGGGGATTTTAGTGATGGTGACCTTTCTGAAGGAGACTGCCAGGACTTTCTTGTGTGGCACCTCTCAGTTAGCAGCTGAGAGCTTAAACATTTGCACTACCCAGGAACCGCCATAAGACGTGAAACCAAACCCCAACCCGCTGCCAACGAGCTGATCCTGACTCAACAGCCCCTCGTGTGTCAGGGGAACTGGGCTCCACAGGCTGGCAGTGGCTGATTTTCACACCCAGATTACCAGGCATTTCTTGCGTGGCCCCCGGGTGGCTCTGAACTGCCAGCCTTACAGTTGGTAGCTGAGCACACTAACGGCTTGTGCTCCCAGGGTGTCGTTAAGAAGCAAGGCCGTCGTAAAGCAGGGCAGGCCCAAAGCCAGGCTGGCTGCTCTGCTCCTCTCAGTGCTGCCCTCAGGCCCAGGCAGGGTCTCCACACCTGCCCCCACACACCAGCTTTCTGATCCTCCTCCACGGGTCAGCCATGGCAGGCCCCTCCAGCTCCCACTCGGGGGCAGCCTCCATGGTGACCGTAATTTTTGCATATAATACACATAGGACTCACAGCTTAAAGGGGTCGCAGTTTGCAAAAACAAACAAAGACACTATTGTGTGTGTGTCATTTGTGTAAAATACAGTATGTCATATTCTAGATGAAGGGCCCTCATCTGCTGTCTCAGAGCCCCACCGCACCTCGGTTTCTTGTCCCTGGCCTAGCATCTGCTGCCAACGGTGCCACCCAGCCCGCAGCTCCCTCACCCGGTCTCCTTGAGCAGCTGCCTAGGGCCGGAAGGGGCTTTCTCAGGGCCCCAGGGCTGGGAGAGCTGGAAGGGGCTGGAAGATTCCTCCTCTGCCCGCGTTCAGGGCTCTGGGGGTGCAGTCCGAGGCTGGGTAGAGGAGGCATGTGCCGTCACTGACGGTCAGACATGCTTTGCAGAGGGTGGGCACCAGGACTGAGCAGGAGCTGGGAATGGGGTGTGCCCTCTAATTGGGACCCAAGCTGTTCCTGGCTTAGGCCTGGCCCCCAGCCCCAGCAGAGGGTGCCCTCAGGGGCAGGGCCTCCCGTCGGAGAAGCTGCTGCAGCGGGAAGGACAGCCTCGGGTGCCCGGGTTCCTGGAGCTTTGCTCTAGTCGCCCCTCCGGCCTCAGGTAGCGGAATTACATCAAGGCCGCTGTCCCTTGGCACTTCGCCCCACTGCCACTGGGATGGGGGACGGGGAAGACGGACGTCCAGTCTTCTGCATCTTTTCTCTGATCACGGCACCTCACTCCAGCCCAGCACCAGGGCCTGGGTGCTCCCACAGCCCCTGACACTGCCAGTCCTTCCTCCCCGGAGCCCGGTGGTCCCGTGGCCTTGGCCAGTCCCGTACTCCCCTCGGCTGTGGTGGGCTGGGTGCGGGCCACGGCTCACACCCCCTCCCTGGGAAGGGCGTCTGCCGGTCAGGCTTTAAACTTCTGCGTCCTGGGTGCGCCTCGAGCAGCTCCCTGCCCACTGCCCTGCACGCCCCCGACGCTCTTTTCAAAAGACATTAAACTTGAATTGCATTCCTCAGCACAGTGGCCTTGTCTGCTTGTTTATGAAACTGGGTCTTCCTCCTTGTCCTACTCCCCGCCCTCCACCCACGGCCTGTTGTCTGCCTGGGGCCCCAGCTCCGTATCTAGGACAGGCTATCACCAGGCACACACTGGCTTCCTGTCGCTCGTCCTCCTGCGGGCTGGGCAGCCAGAGACGGAGCTGGGCTTACTGCAGTTTGGATGCCCTAGGCTCAGACAGGTCGACTGTGGGGGGCAGGAGGGACGGGGCGGCCTCCTGACCAGGACACAGCATCCGGGGAAGCAACCTGTAACAGCAGTGCCGGCCCGGGCTCCGTGGCTCAGACCTGTCTGAGGTTCCTGTGACTGCTGAGGCAGGTGGTCACAACCTGGTGGCTAAAGAACAGGAACAGAGCCTCTCACAGTCTGGAGAGCCGAAGCCCAAAGTCAGGGCGTGGGCAGGGCTGTGTTCCCTCCCGAGGCTCTAGGGAGGCCCTTCCTTGCTTCTTGCAGTTTCAGGTGGCTCCAGGTGTCCCTTGGCTTGTGGCGAGGCCCCTCCCATCTCTGCCTCCATCATCACACGGCTGTCTCTGTGTCCCCCATCTGTGTGCCCGATGCCCCTCCCTCTCTCATATAAAGGCACCTGTTCAGGACTGAGGGCCACCCAGATAATTCTCAGCTTGGTTATATCCTCACCGATCCTACTTCCTAATGAGGTCCCCTCGGCAGGTAGTAGGGTTAGGTTTGGACACGGCTTTTCTGGAGGACACCATTCAACCCAGCACATGACCTCCAGCTTTGAGTACACCTGCCTGCAGCCTCCTTTATCACTGAGCCACGAAGGACAGGTGCTGTTTCGTCTTCTCTCCCTCCCTTGCCAACTGGGTTAGTGGCCTGGGCCCGGATCCAGGCTGCCAGAGGGCAGTGCAGATGCTCCTTGTACCCTTGGGGCCAGCAGGCTGGCAAGCAGCTGGCCTTCGTCTTTCGCCTGTGGCCCTGGGGGAAGCCTGGGCCGTCATGCTCAGGCTCGGGCCAGGGCTAGACCAGAGCAGGCAGCTGCTGTAATCCTGCTCTCGTGGGACGAAGAGCAGGCCCCCAGCTCACCTCGTGGGGCTTTTCAGACATGCCTTCCATGCAACTGGGAGCCAGGCTGACTGCTTTTCTTCAAGGTGAATGGAAGGAATGAGCCGGCTTCATGCAGCTGTCCACTGCACGCCCCCTCCCTGGGGACAGAGTCAGGTGGAGCTTGCACTCACAGCCTCACTGCTGGCTGTGGTCAACGTGGGGAAGAAGGTAGTGTTTACTACAGAGACCCCCTTCCAATATCCCTGCCTCCTGGCGCTCTCCCCCGTCACCCCCTTCATGCTGGCATGGATGTCTCTCTACCAGTTTGTTCACCAAAACTCGCCCTGCACCTGCTTTGTGCCTGGCCACGAGCCAGGCAGTGGGGGCATTAAGGACAGGTACTGCTCTGCCTTTCAAAAGACTTGTCCGGGATTTTAACTGTAGCACAAAGAGCAGCCTGCTCAGAACCGTGTGCTTTCAACTAAATCACCTGTCCCACCTGACTCCCTCTGCAGGCAGTTTATGCTGCACAAGGTCCTTTTACTGTCTCCTGTCCCACTAGTAAGGAACTGGACAACCATCCCAGAAAATGACCTGGTAAACTCATCTGCAAGACAAATGCTGGTGTTTTCACAAAAGGGTGGTTACTCAACCAAAGGACACACCTGCTTGTGTCAGGAGGTAGGAGTGCTGAGAGAGATACTCCCCAGATACCCCATCTCTCTCAGATGCTGCCCTGTTGTTCTTAGGTGCCATCGGGTTGGCTCCGACTCAGTGGCCCCATGTACAAAAAAACGAAACACTGCCTGGTCCTGTGCCAGCCTCACAGTCCTGGCTATACCTGAGCCCATGGTTGCAACCACTGGGTCCATCCATCTCGTTGAGGGTCTTCCCTTTTTTTCACTGACCCTCCACTTTACCAACATGATATTCCTTCTCCAAGGAATGGCCCCTTCTGACAACCAAAGTAGGTGAAACGAAGTCTGGCCATTCTTGCTTCCACGGAGGATTCTAGCAGCTCTCTCAGTTTGTTGTGCTGTGGTGGCTTAAGTGTTGCTGTGAGGCTGGAGGCTATGTCACTGGTATTTCAAATGCCAGCAGGGTTACCCATGGTGGACGGGTTTCAACAGAACTTCCAGAATAAGACAGGGTAGCAGGACAGGGCCATCTGCTTCTGAAAGAATTGGCCAGTGAAAACCTTAGGACTATCAGGGAAACACTGTCTGATATATGAGATGTTGCCCTGTGAAGGTATAATGTGTGTAGTATGTGTTTCCTCAAGAAGAATTTTCTATAATGTTCACTTCGGGAATATGATGTCACAATGACAAGCTGGCTTTATTGGCCCAAAGTTACTGGGATAAAATGAGATAACCTTGCCCAAATCCTGAAAGATGCAGAAGGTTGCAGAAAATAATAAGTAAGGTAAGATTCCTTTCCATGCAAAAGAATGAACTTGGACCCCTACCTCACACCATATACAAAAATTAACTTCAAATGAATCAAAGACGTGAATATAACAGCTAACTATATAAAGTGCTTAGAAGAAAACATGAGAGTAAATCT